GGGTGGCACACGTCCCCCCAGCTGAGGAGCAGGGCTTGCTGCTGCACGTGCTCCTGATGGTGCCTGATGGAAAGGACTTTGTGGCTGAAGGCTCTGGCCTCCCCAGCTCCTGCAATGTGTATCTGAACTGCAAACTGCTCAGCACTGAGGAGGCAACGAGATCCGCTGTCGTCTGGGGCACGAGACAGCCTGCCTTCAATTTTTCTCAGGCAAGTGACATGTTCTCCATTTCCCACCGATGGAAGCGTGGTATTCCCCACTGACAAACACATTTCCTAGTTAAATTACTTTTTTTGTACCTAGAAACATCTCTGCTTGGCTCTGTTGAATGCACATTTGATTTTTAACTTCTGTGTCTAAAAAGTACAATTCTGTAGACTGGAATAAAGTAGATTTATCAGAATGCTCTGTACTTAGCCAATATTTTCCAGTGAATTCTGTGCACTAATTCTGCTTTAAACCTTTCAGGTGATGCCTTTTTCGTTGACCTCCAAACGCTTGGAGCGGCTGAAGAACAATGTCATGATCATTGAGGCATGGAACAAGCTGGGAAGCCCTGGCTCTGACAAATTGCTGGGATTAGTGAAACTCCCTCTGCATCAGTTTTACATCTCGTTCAAGTAAATTTGGTTTTTTCCCCATTTTTTATTGGTTTGGGAAATATCCTAGCTGAAGCTTAGAGAAAGAAGTAGGTGATGGTGTGTGGAGGTTTTGTGGGAGGGTTCTTAGTTACACTCCATAGCAAAAGGCATTTTTGCCCTGCCAAGCTTCATGGAGCCCTTTCCTGCACTGAGCAGGGTGTGAGTTACGCTGTCCTTGTCCAGAAGTACAGATAGAGTGTGACAAGAAAAGTCACTGTGGTGCCTCAGGGTTGGTGCCTGCTTAACCTGTGGTCCTGTGATGGAATAAAACTAGAAGAAGTAAGAGTGACTACGCAGAATGAAGTGTGGCTTCCCATCAGTAGTTTTCCAATACTGTGTCTGGGTTTGCCCCTAATTATGTTCTGCAGAGATCCCATAGGGATGCTGTCAGTTTGCACAGCCTGGGTGTCAAAAAGTCTCCAAAACCTTCCTGTTTTAATTGTGTTCTTCTCCAAAGGGATTCTCCAGAGTTCTTTGTTCTTTTTGAGTTTAATCTATTGGCTTCTTGTTCAGTTAAGTAATATACCTGCTTAAAACAGTTTAAGTTCTTGGAAATACTGGACAGAAGAAATTCTTCCTAATGCAAAGGATTTATTCCTTTTATTTTGGTCAGAGCTAGTGGCATGTGGAAACCAGGTGGTGCTGGAGCTGACTGGCCACTACTTTGTTAGTTACTATTGTGTCATTTGTATCATTTTTTTTAGTAAGCCACTGCAGTTTATTTGTGTGTATCTGAGAATCCCAGAATGGTTTGGCTTGGGAGGGACCTTAAAGCCCATCCAGTGGCACTGGCACCTTCCACTCAACCACATTGCTCCAAGCCCCATCCAACCTGGCCTTGAATAACTTCAGGGTATGATTGGAGATTTTTACATCTTTCTAGGAGGCTGTCACTGTTCCCTCTTTTCTTCCATGCCCAAAGGCACATAACTATAGTCATAAAAGTATCATATGGCTACAGGGTGTTAATGAGAGTCTTGTTCCCATTCATCCCTTTGTTCACAGGTCTCTAGGCTGGCTGGTAGGTTTTGGGAAATTGTCCTTTGTCCTTGCTGGCAATAACTTCTTGCACCCAGCAGCTCATGGGTGAGTGAAGGTGGGATGTGAGACAAATTTCAGAGGAGCAGAGGTAGACTGGTTTTTATCAGCACTGAAAATCCCATCTAAAGCGTGTTCGGTGTGATGCTGTTCCTGCTCAGATGGCTCATGCTCACGCTGGGGCTTTTTTGTTTGTTTGTCCTGCAGGGATCCCAGGGTTTCCCAGCTGCTCCTGCAGGCTCAGTACCCGGTGGTGGCCGTGGATGGCCCCGTGCCCGTGGTGGACGTTTTCACGGGCAGCACCCGTGGCAGCCTGAGGGTCACCCTGGCCATGGGATCGGCTGAGCAGATCGTGGCCCTGCAGAGACTCAGATCTGAGGAGGGAATGGTGCCCCCAGTGGCACAACGTCCTCCTCACTCCCTGGACCATCTGGCTGCACAACCCACGCTGGTATTTACTCTTCAGTATGCCCCATTCTTGCTGTTAAGGATATGTCAAAAGGGTTTTACCAGTAGGTTCATTAACAGATGAATGATCCCCAATCTCTTCTTGGAGCTGTAGCCAATTTTGTTATATTCTGCAAATTGTACACAGAATTATATTGTTTATACTCTCTTTTTACCAACTTGACCTCACCAGTCTTGACTTTATGCCATTTTTATTGCCTTGCATGTCCACTGTTTCTATCTTCACAAGTCCAGTAAAAACAAAAACAAAATTATAGAAAATCCTAATTCTCACTGTCTTATTGTGGGGGTTTTGCCACTACCTTGGAGTTGGATAGGTAGGAACTTCTGTGTATGTGCTTTGCAGGAAATAAAAAAAATTTCTTTCAGACTTTCAATGTTTCTGTAAACTTTAGGAGGAAAATGGTAGATAATTTCCCTGTCCCCCATCTCAGGTTTCTTAAATCCTTATCACATATAATTGTTTAGATTGGAAAAGGCCTCTATGCTCATTGAATCCAACCACTACCCAGCCCTGCTAAGGCCACAATTAAACCATGTCCCCAAATGTTACATTCCCATGGCTTTTAAGTGCCTCCAGGGATGACTCAACCACTTTCATGTGGCTTCCCCTTTTTTTTGCTAGCAGTTGGAGCCAGGAGGGGAAGACCTGATGGAGCACGTGTTTGAGATCCACGTGGAGAGTGTGAAGGGACTCACTCCCCTGCAGTCTACGGTCTGGGGAGAGGCTGACTGCTACATCCAGTACTATTTCCCTGTTCAGGAGGCTGGCTGTGGTGCACTGCAAGGACCTGGACTGCATGAGGATGGTAAGTTTGTTTTATAATTTTCCCTTATTTAGAGCATTGCTTTAATTAAATATCATTTAGTCGTGTTCCCTCTGCCTAAGTAAGAGTGGGACATGTTTTTCTGAGCTTTCAAGCGGCGAACGCTTATTTTCTTGGAAAAACTGGGGTTGGGCTGTGTCCCTGGACTCAAAGCCTTGTTTGTCTGAGGCTGGTGGCAAGTTCCCAGTGGGAAAAAGAGACCTCATTCCAAATCTCTTCACATGGTACCTTCTCTTAAAGGGTTAAAGGTGCTAGAGGGCTGTGCCTGTAGTCCAACAAAGGTGCAGGAATGGGTCTGCAGGGAATAGGGAGATAGTACACAGTGAAATTCAGCAAGGGCTTTACATGCACAGGCCTTTCAGGGTGCTTGTTTTGCTCTCCACAACTCCCTGACAGGTGAGTGCAGCCAGGTGGGGATCGGGCTCTGCTCCCAGGCAGCAGGGGACAGGACAAGAGGAAACGGCCCCAGGTCATGCTGAGGGAGGCTTAGGTTGAATATCAGGGAAAACGTCTTCATCAGCAGGGTTATCACACCCTGGCACAGCTGGCCGGGTGAGTGGTGGAGTCACCATCCCTGGAAATGTTCAGGAAGTGTTTGGATGTGGCACTTGGGTATGTGGTTTGCTGGGTGGCCATGGCAGGGCTGGGTTAACAGCTGGATTTGATGATCTTAGAGGCCTTTTCCAAACATAACAATTCTGTGATTTTCATGGATACACCAACAGAAGAGTTGCTTAGTTTGGATCACTAGGATTGACAGAATGGTTTAGATGGGAAGGGACCTTAAGTCCCATCCATTCACACCCCCTGCCATGGCAAGGACACCTTCCACTGTCCCAGGCTGTTCCAAGCCCTGTCTGACCTGGCCTTGGACACTTCTAGGGATCCAGGGGCAGCCACAGCTGCTCTGGCAACCTGTGCCAGGGCCTCACCTTCCTATTGGGAGGAATTTCTTCCCAATATCCAATCTAAATCCAGATTATAAAAGAATATTTAAATAATTGTAATTGTAGGAAAGAACATAGTGTTGTGTGCTTTGCATCACCACTGAAAAAAAATGACATTCAGTAAAATGGTTCCGTAGTAAGTGCTCTGGGATTTCTGTACTGCCTCTTTAGCTGTAGTTCCCAGGCTGTGGCTCGCAGGGTCATGGGGCTGTGTGGATTGCTTGTAAAAGCTTTGTGAAATGAAGCTCAGAAGAGCAAACCTTGTCCCAGGAGGATTTCACTCCCTGTCCATGGGTCCTACCTCCTGAATTAGTACAAGCAGAAAAAGATGGAAAGCTGCAATTCCAACCACTTTTAACCAGTTCTGCTTGACTTCTAGGCATCACATTAAAGCCGTTTAGAACAGCTACCACCTTGTGTGTCCCTGATCCCATCTTTAATGATGAACATCATCATTCCCTGTTGGTTCCTGCTGATGTCCCAGTCCAGAGGCTCCTGGTCAGTGCATTTATGTCACCAGGAGCAGCAGCAGGAGGAATCCAGTTTGAAGTCTGGTGCAGGTACAGAACAATGTCCTATTATTTGTAGATAGCACAGCAATACTGATAGAGGTACATCTGATCTTGAAAAATCTCTGGCTCTGGAATGGATATTTTTAATAATAGAAAAAAGGTAAGCTCATCAACATTTAGTGATGACTATCTGCACTTAAAACCTGTGAGCCTTATTCCCCACCAAGAGTCCTAATTACTCCTTTTTATAACTTAAAAAGTGTGTGTTAATAGTTTGCTTTCTTCCATCTTTTAGTCAGCATAACAATCTAAAAGTAGTTTAAATGCTTGGTGCATCTAAATTTTACTTAATAGCACCCTGAAAGTATAATTTCATTGTGCTGGATTTGCTCTTTTCCCTCATACAAATCACTGAGTACAAGAGAAGTAATAAAAAGTGTTTTGTAAATTCAAAATGCTTCTTTGGCTACTGAAGATAATTATTAGTAATGGAGAGCAGAAGCCATGAAGACAAATAGCTTTGGAAAAAGATAATAATCTGTTCATTCTGCAGTAAACAAGTCAGGCTTTTTAAAATTTGCTAAGTCACATAAGAATTACTCTGAGCTGTTCGTAAGATACAGTGCCAGAATTTGTTTTAGGATGAAGCTGAAGCCAAGTAATGCACTAAAAAAAGGTTTAGAGTTATTTTTTTATATTCACAATCTGGTACCTCACATCTGTTCTGCAAGAGAGGTATTTTCATCTATTACTGAGAAGTGAAAGCAGAGAATATTTGGTGCCAGATCCTTCTCTTGTTTTTCTTTGGGATGCCAACTTTTAGTGGAGTTCTTGCCTGTTGACTTGTTAGGACTAGTGCAAGTATGTATTTGTAGCATTATCTGCTTAAGCACTTAATGATTCTTTTCTTCAGTGGAAATACATTTATTTTTCTCCCATAGCTGGGGAGGCTAATTAAGCTTTGAAGACACTCAGAGTTGACTTCTGTACAGTTTGAGAGAAATGTTGATGCTGCTTTTTTGTGTCCTACCAGGTATTATTACCCAAATGTCAGAGACCAGCTGGTTGCCAAAGGGGCCCTGCCTTTGTCACGGCTCTGTGCCATGGTGACTCTGCAGCACCGCCAAGAAATAGGGATTCAAACTTTTAACCTTCCCTTGGTGCCCCGGAGTGATTCCTCAGAGGAATTTCATCTGCGGTCTTCAGGTGAGCAAGGCTTGTGGGCTTTCCCTTCAGGTGGTAAAGCCAGGTTCAGTTGAGGAAACATCTGAGCAGCACAACAGTATGTGATGGTGTGTTAGCAAAGGACAAAGGAAATGGCCTCAAGTTGTGCCAGGGAGATTTAGCTTTGATATTAGGGAAAATTTCTTTCCCTAGTGGGTTGTCCAGTCCTGGCACAGGCAGCTCCAGGCCATGGTGGAATCCCCATCTCTGGTAGGATTTAACAAGTGTGTGGATGGGGCACTTAGGGACAGGGAGGAGTGGTAGCTATGGGAGTGCTGGAGGAATGATTTAGCTCTATGATTTTATGGGTCTTTTCCAGCCAAAGCAGTTTTGATTCTGTTTAAAATTCTGTCGAATTCTATAAAAGTCTGTTTGCCTCCAGGGCAAATAAAAATATGGATTTGTGTTGGCAACTGAAACCAACCAGGAGTGGTTTTCCTCCCAGCTTTCACTAACACCATAATGAGTAAAAAATCAGTGATTAAACAGGGGAAACCCTCAAACGTTCAA